TCCTCCTCCTCCCCCCTCCTCCCTCCCTCCCCCTCCTCCCTCTTTCTGTCTCTCTTGCTGTCTCTCTCTTTCTGTAAATTATGATCATCTCAGTGGGCATTAAGTGGTACTGCTTTGTGGTTTTGACCTGCATTTCCCCAGTGACAATGATGTTGGGTGTCTTTTCATCCGCTTACTGCGTATCTTTGGAGAAATGTCTGTTCGCATCCTCTGTGTGTGTTTTCATTGGGTTATTTACCTTTTCATTGTCAAATTGCAGCTCCTTTATTTTCTTCATCACACTTCTCACTCTCTGAAAAGAGGCTGCTTTTTCTGTGCGTTGTCTATCTCGCCTCATTAGCGTGGAAGCCCCATGAGGTCAGGGCCTCGTCTGCTGTGTCTCCAGCGGGCAGAACAGTGCCTGCTTTATAGTTAATATTTGTTGAAGGGGTTTGTGAATCCACAGTGAAAAGAGGATGATTCACTCAATCACTCACTCGCTCGGCGAACAAGAGCTTTCTGCATTTCTGTGGTTCTGATCATTCTAAGGCTAAAACAGGGGTCTTAGCTTAGATTTAGGGCCCTTCAAAGGGTCCACTGTAAGTGCCAGCCCTGCAATATCATGAGGCCCATTTTCCGATCACGATGCCGTTCTCCTCGACTTCTAGTACCTCCTTCAGGGGGCAGGGGTAGGGGATATGAGTGTTCGCATATTAAATGCTTAGCCAAGGGCAGGGCCCAGTTCAAGTGCAGCATAAGGGCAGGTCCTAAGTCAAGCGTGGTGTGGCTGGGTTCTCTCTGTTCAGAGTCTTACAAGGCTGAAATCAAGGCGGAGGCCAAGCTGCCTTCCTGCCAGGAGCCTCCAGGGAAAAGCGTGGCTGAATTCAGTTGCTCACGGTTGTGGGACTGAGGTCCCCATCTCATTGCTCGTAGTCAGCCAAGGTCCCCTCATAGCTCCTAGAGGCCACCTGCACTCTTTGCCGTGTGGCATCTTCCATCTTTGAAGCCAGCCACAGAGACTGTCCCTGGTGTCCAGTCTCTCTCATACTTTGAGTCTCTTTTGCCAGGAAGAGCCCTGTCTTATGTAAGCTCTGTCTCCACCTGATTAGGTCAGGCCCACTAAGGAGAATTGTTTTCTTCAAGTCAGCCAACCCCTCTATCCCCCACTCCGTAGGAGGGGATTATACAGGGCGTAGGTCATTGTGGATCATCTTAGAATTCTCAGTAGCACAGTGAGCTGTAAGTATCGTTGTTAAATTCTCAGAGGAGTCCCTCTGCCCTCACAGGGGATGCTGACACTGCATATCACACACACGCAAACTTCCCAGCCCCTGGCTGAGCTAGCCTGTACCCCTGGGGCATCTCCAGAAGCCATGGGCCTGGCCTCTGGCCACCTGAGATACACGTCAGGTCTTGAGCTGGCCAAGGGCAGTCGGGGTCAGAGGCTGGTCCTTCTGTCTTCCTTCAGCTGTGCTCTCCACTCTCATTCTTCCTCTGTGGGCATGACAGGGAGGATGCGATGACCAAAAAAACCCTGGTCTGTACTGGCTCAAACAGAGAACTCTTTAAACTACTGGGTTCTGGAAAGCAATCCCACCCACCGAGAAATGACCACCTCGATCAACTGGTCCCCAGGCTTCTGCTGTCAGACCTCTACAGTCCATTCTCTACTCAGCAGCCAAAAAGATCCTATAAAACCTAACCCAAATCATGTCTTTATGCTTCCCCACACTCCTCCAGCACCCACCTCACTCAGAGACAAAGCTACAGCCCTTGCAGCTGCCAAGAAGGCCCGCATGGTTCTGGGCCCCATGACGGCGCTGGCCTCAGTCTCTGGGACTTCTTGCTCCCTCCAGTCCAGCCACACTGACCTCGGTACTGTTCTTTGAATACACCAGGCGTGATCTGAGCTCAGGGCTTGTTGTGCCCTCTGCCTGGAAGGTTCTTCTTCGAGGTAACCACGTGGCTCCTGCCCTCACCACCTTCAGGTCTTCGGGCAAATGTCCCCTCGGAAGCCTTCCCTGCACCCTCGATTTAAAATTACACCCCGCACCCTACAGACTCTATTCTCTTCCCTGCTTTATCAAATGGTAATAAATGCCGTGGCTTCTGCAGGCGACCTGGTGAGCCTCCCCTGGACCTGGGCAGTATCCCCTGGTTAGGCCATGCTTTGGAGTTTGGAAAAGATGCTGCCAGCTTCCTCACTAGGATGAAGGAGAAGCATGGTGATATTTTTACTGTAAGTACCTCTTGTGCCTCTTGGGAGGGGCGGGGATGAGCAGCTGGGCCTGTCATACCTGGTGTTGAGGGAGTCCTTCGGGATCTATCTCTGTACTAACCTACTCATCCATCATCCATCCAGTGGTCCAGCTAACTTTCTATCCATTTCTATACAACTGTACATCCAGTGCTTATGTAACGTCCATCTCTTCATTATCATACCTCTAGCATCTTCCCAACATCAAGCTATGAAGTCATTCAATATCCATCTGATAATTGTACATAAATTTAACTGATCTCTATCCATTTATTCAACGTCCATCTCTAAAATCCACCCATCCATCTAACAGCTATCATTCTGCCTATCTACCCAATATCTAAGCAGCATCCTTCCATCCTAATATCCACCAACATTCATTCATACATTTCCGTCAAACCTCCATCTATCCACTCATCCATCCATCTTTCTATATACTTTTCCAATATCTGTCCATCATCTATCCCTCCATCTGTCTACCCAAATTTATCCAGCATTCTTCCACTAGTGTACCTACACCCATCCAACTTCCATTCATATATTCAATTTCCACCAACTTTCATTCTTCCATTTATCTACCCATGTCTCTACCCCCCTGCCACTTTCTACCCAGCGTCCAGTTATCTATCCATTCAATAAACATTTATTTATATCTCCATCTATCCACCCCTTCAGTATCTACTCAAACAACTACCACTGGTCCATCTACCTTCCACGTATCCTTCCCAACTTCTATCCCAATCCAGCATTTGTCCTTCAGTCTGTTTACCCAATATCCACTTAGCGTCTTGCCATCCACGTACCCAACATTCATCTGTACATTTAGTTTCCACCAACCTCTAACCACCCACCCACCCATCGTTCCTTCCAAGATGCATTCAGTGAGCTTTCCTTCCATTTATCCACTCATCTAACAGTCCTTCTAATAGCAATTTTTTCTCGGCTATCGGCCTGTATTTTATAAGTGAGTTTGATTAACACGACGTAAAAATCACACTCTGAAGACAGGGTCGAGGTAGGTGGGTAGTTTTGTGTGACCCCTGCACAAACATTTGAGGAGAAATGCTCAGCTCTTGTCTGTAGGGTTACAGCTCTCCAGAGCTGCTTCCTTTCCTTCTGGGACAGCATGTTACATATAGAGCCCGACCTCCCAAAGAAGTGAGTATTGCTTACACATCCACTCGCATATACCCAGCAGCATCCGTCCATCCGTCCGTCCTTCCTTTCTTCCTCCATTCATTTATCCATCTATCTATCCATTCACTCACCTATAATCTATCCATCTGCATTTACCCACCAACATCATTCCATCCATCCATCCATGCATCCATCCATCCATCCATCCATCCATCCATCCAATCCATTCACCTATGATGCACACACATCCATCTTCTGCCTTCTGTGGGCAGATTCTCTCCTGGCTGCTAGAGATATGACAATAACCAAGATAACCGTGGCAGGTGCTTAAGAGCGAGACGGTTAAGAACACAACCTTTGGTTCAACAAGGTGCAGAATTCCAGTACTAGCTCTGCCACCTCTCAGCTGCCTGAGATCTTGGGCACATCATGTGACTTCTCTAGGCCTCACTTTTTAGCTGTAAACGGGTGAATGATGGTCCTCTCCTCGCAGAGTGGTCGTGAGGGGTAGATGAGAGAGCATCATCCATTCAGTACATGGTGGGGCCAGCACCTGCCACGGAGTAAGTCCTTGACCACTGAGAGCAGCCGTTGTCATAGTGATACTCCTCACTCTATCTGGCCAACTTCCCAGGTACTGGTGGGGGGCAGGTACATCACCGTCCTCCTGGACCCACATTCCTACGACTCGGTGGTGTGGGAGCCTCGCACCAAGCTGGATTTCCACGCCTATGCCATCTTCCTCATGGAGAGGATTTTCGATGTGCAGCTTCCACATTACAACCCCAGTGATGAGAAGGCCAAGATGAAACCGTGAGTGGCCGGAGACGGTGACTGGGCGGGCCAAGGGGGGCGATCTGCTTCTACCTGCGTAGTTCATGTCACCCTCGTCTCCACAACAGGGGTCCAGTAAAGACATTTCGTTGATAGAAAACAAACAGAAACAAAATTAAAAACAACCCAGAAGAGTTGGGCTCAAGAAGAACTCTCCTCCTTAGGAGGCAGATCTGATTTTAGTAGGAGGAGACCAGGATTTGGGTCAGTCAGACCTAGATGCAAATCCCAGCCCCACCCCTTTCTACCCTTGTGACTTTGGACAAGCCAGTCCATCTCTGAGCCTGTTTCCGTACCTGTGAAATGACGGGAGGTGGGTGGGGTGATCAATAGTTTTGAGTCCATATTCTGTGCCAGGCATCGTACATGAGCCTATTAGTCTTCACAGAAATGCTCTGCCTTTCAGAAGTCTGTGGGTTCCTTATAGCCCCATTTTATAGATGAGGACATTGGGGTTCAGAGAAGAGAAATGACTTGCCCTAGGCCACACAGCTAGCAAGTGGTGCAGGTCCTGAAACATAGAACTTATTTCAGCACAAGGATGTGTGAGCACATTTATTCTACTCGTCCAGCAAACATCCGGGAACCTGCTATACAGTGGTCACCATCCTAGATGCAGAGGGCACAGAATGATGCCAACCATCGTCTGAGGACACCTACCGTATACCAGGCGTTCGATAGTGCACTTTCGTATTTACAGAGGAGGAAACGGAAGCTCAGAGAAGGGAAGTGACTTAGCCAAGGTCTAGTGCTAGTAAGTGGCAGAGCTAGGATTTGAACTCAGGTCTGCAGACCCCACAGCCTGTTGTCTTCCACCCAAGATACTGAGGAAATGAGATGCTGCATATCCACCCCTAAAGAGTCACACAGTCTGAGGGTCACCTTTAGTGATCTGTCTCTAGGAAGAGTCACATCCTGGAGTAAAAAGAATCTAGAAGGCCGAGTTTTGCAGGACTGCCAAAGTCGAGGAAAGGCCAGCATTACGAGGTGAACTCTGAGGAGAAGCAGTGCCCAGTTCGGCCTTGGCTTTGTGGGACAGCTGCTAGGAGGACTTCTAAGGCTGAGTGTCCTGGGTCCTGCCATTCCAGGGGATCATGAAGTCCCATTGATAACAAGAGTCAAAGTTCACTGCATCCCACCCCACTACCTAGGGAAGACCCGTTTCCTCCAGTGTCTGCCCCCTACGGTTTCTGGGAATTTCTCATGAGCTGGTATGACATCTTCTGGGCATGGTCGCCACATCTGTTGAAGGCTGATGTCTCTGTCGAGGACTAGTGCCTGTAGTGGGGTCAGGGGGACAGCTGGATCAAGGTCCATCACTATGCCAGCTCCCATTTATTGAACACTTACAGTGTGCCAGGTGCTGTGCTAAACCCTTCACACACCTTATCTCATGTGGCTCATGCCTATTGTTATTGCAACAATGTTCCAACTTGAACATCCAAAAGCTTTTATTACCTGGAAGTTCATGGAACGCCTTTGGAACTTCTCCGCTCCTGACTTATCCAAGAACCCAGGGGTTTACGCAGTCTGAAGAGACCCATCCCATCTGCAAACAGCAGGTGGCGACAAAGAGCTGGAGTGCCTTACCTGTACTCCAGCACTCGTTACTGCCACAAGGTGTCGCTGTTGGACATGGACGCTGCACTGTTCCAAGGGCACTGTCCACTGGCTGTCCTGGTGCCCCTTCTGGTCTAGATCCCTGCACAGGTTGTAGAGAGGCCTTAAACTTAGATACAAGATCCTACCTTTCTTGGCTTCTAATCATGCCCTCAGGCATGGCTCAGTGTTGACCCTGTATTGCGGAGACTCAGTACAGAGGGGCTTCTAGCTTCTGCCACGTGTGCCCCCCAGACCCATACTCCCTGGCACACACGATGACCGGGTCACCAGCCAGATCCTCGTACTCCTCGTGTCATGTTCACTTGGGGTCATGTCTCATTAACAGTCCTTGGTGAGGAGACGCTTAAACCATCCAAACAGGTCTCCCTGACTTTGGGACTCAAGGAGAAAGGGCTGGCGTCTTAGTTCTCTGCCTTTCAGAAGTCTGTGGGTTCCTTATTCAAGCGTGTGTGCCCCAAGGAGGGACAGACTGTGGTGGCTAAGAGTTCAGACTCCGGAGCTGGGCGGAGCAGGGTTTTAATCCCAGCTGTATAAGTTACTGACCGGGTGGCCTCCAGCAAGTGACTTTGATCTATATCCCTGAGTTTCTGTCTGTAAAACGGCATCATAATAGCAACTGTTCTCTCTCAGGTTGTCAAAAGGTGAAAGGAGATCGTTATGCTTACTTAGCACAGTGAATAGTCACGGCCATCAGTGTTGATAATCATAACGCCATCTTGTTTGAGCTAGTCTTCCAAAGGCCCCCGTTGCCAGCGAGAACTGGAGCCCCAGGACCCTGCGGTGGGGGGAGGGACCTGCCTGTGTGCTCTCCCTCTGGAAGCTGTGCTCTCACTGCTTTGTCCCCTGCCCCAGGACGCTCCTCCACAGAGACCTCCAGGCACTCACCGAAGCCATGTATACCAACCTCCGCAATGTCCTGCTGGGCGACACCACGGAAGCGGGCAGTGGCTGGCATGAGATGGGTCTCCTCGATTTCTCCTACAGCTCTCTGCTCAGGTGAGCCCAAGCAGCCCCCACTCCCCCGAGTGGAGCCCAGCTCTCTGGACCCGGGTCAGCCATTAATCGTGGCTTGGGAGCTATGAGGCGGTGGTGCATAGGGGAGCAGTTTGGGACACTCAGAACAAAGACTGCAAGATGACATTTACATCTGGGACCCCAGGTATTTACCTGGCTCGGTCTGCGAGTTGTCGAGGAGACACAAGCCGAAAAGGGGCCTTTGGCATTTATTCTAAGTAAGATGAGTGACGTTGGGGGTTTACGCAGAGGCTTGACGTGATTGCACTTGGAGTTTTAAAGACTCTATTTGTCTGCCGGATGGAGACTAGGCCACAGGTCGGGTGTGTGGCAGTGAGAGAGAAGCAGGAGGACTTGTAAGGAGGCTGCTGGAGTTGTTCCGGTGAGAACGGCGGCCTGGACCAGGGAGATGACAGGGAGATGCTGAGAGTTTGGGGTGGGGGTGGAGTTGATGGGACCTGCCGAAGGCTTTGGTCGGGGCGGTTGTGGGGCTGGAGGATCATGGCCACGGGGCGCAGGGCAAGAGCAGGGGCAGTTCATTGATTTTTGGTGGTGCCTTTAATTGACCAGCATTTCACAAAAGAAAAGACATTTCAACCACTCTAAAAAATTAGAGCGACACAGTTTCAGAATAAAGGACAGGCATGTGCTGACACATGGGTACACAGGCACATTTGGGACACATGTGTGCATATGTGTAGGCTCGGTGTGTGTTAGTGCATTTAATCCTCACAACAGCTCTGTGAGGCTGGTACTTCACAAACTGCACTCGAAAGATGAGAAAACAGGTCTGGAGAGCTGAAGCCATTTGCCCAGAGTCCCATGGATAGGGGCCTGACGGGGCTGGCCTCAGAGCCTGCCCTGTCAAGCCTGAGCCTTGCTGCGTAAGAGGCCCACGTCTTTCTCACTTCTCCCTGGAATGGTGCAGACTCTGCCCAGGGCTGTGACTGGTCTGGGTGATGCTGGTTTGGTCCACCCTGTCATCGCATGGTGGGGAGGCTGAGGTAGAGGGGCAGCTAAAACCACCCAGCAGGATCACAGAGGGCACCTCCTGGGTCTCCCGGCTCCTGCCACCCTGTGTCTCCGTGAGGGCAAAGAGAGGAAGTTGTGGCTCTGGGGGAGGTGGGGGCGACGTGGTGGCAGCTGGGCCCTTTTAGGCCCATGGTGACAGCAGGCGCAGTGTAGGGCGTCAGAGGTCAATGGGTTCCGAGTCTTCAGGGCCTGAGACCTGTGCCAGAGCTCCTGCCTCCTGGCCTGGTGGCCTAGGGCCTTTTCATCGCCATCTGTAGCCCCCAAAATAGAAAGGGGTGGGCGGGTTGGATGACAGGGTCACTGATGGAGGTGCCCATGGCCCCAAACCATGAGATGCCACCGCTGAAATCTCCTAACCCGTCCTGCGCAGGTTCCTGCTCTCTGAGTCACATCCCACGTTCTTACCCTGGCCTACGGGATCCAGCATGGCCTTCCCTGAACCCTTCTGTCATAATCCTTGGACAGGCCAGGCGGGCACCTACCTCGAGGCCTTTGCAGTTTCTGGTCCCTAGGGGTCTGCATGGCTCCCACCTAACTTCATTCGAGTCTCATCTCAAGGGTCACCTCCTCAGGAAGGCCTGTTCTGACGTCCCATTTAATATAATAGCCCCCTCATTACTCAGCCCCACTGAGGCTTTATTTTCCTCCTGGCGCCATCTGTAGGTTCCGTGTGTACTCAACATGTAATTACTGTCTGTCTGAGCCAGGTAACGTGTTATTCTGATATGGAGGTGCCATCGGAGAGGCCTTCACTTCCACGGTGTGAAACCACCGGGGGGTGCGTTATGTTTTTGTCCCCTATTTTGGTAGAAATATATGTCCAGAGAAACAGTTCTCTGCTTTAAGAGAAACACCAGGGCGAGCGGGGTGACAAATGGCGACAGGTGTTTAACTGCACTGTCACGAAGACCACGGGGCCTGGTGAGAATCTCCTGATTCTGCCAGCTCGTTCCTGTCTAAAGGCCACGATTAAATTTCTAAAAACGCCGTGACTCAGCCTCCACCTGGGGTTGCCTGGCGGACTGCAGGCTCCGGGTGGCCAGATTCTGTGCTTTTTCAAGATGAGGGGGTAATCCAGATTTTGTGTGAATTTCCCCAAATGTTAAAACATACATTCAGTTTGTTTTTAGGAGAACTCGGTTGACCAAACGAAACATGTTTCAGACTGGCCCGAGGAGAAGGAAATCCTGGGCCGATGCGGAGGTGCGGCTCTGGCCAGCGGGGTGGACTCTGGAACGAGCTCATCTCGGCTATTCTGAGGGCAGGATTGTTTCCTCTTAGTCCAGTGGGATGGGAGGGTTGTGAGCTCTCCGTCTCTGACGGCATGGAAGCCAAAGCTGGGTGAGGGGGAGGGGAGAGGCTGTAGGGGAAGGGTGGACAGTAGCCTTGGTGACTGAGCTCAGAGTCATGATGACCCTGTAATTTTCTCCCAAGGTCAGTGTTCTCAGGGTTGAGAGCTAACCATCCATCTGACCATTCAGCCACTCACCCATCTATCTATCTATCCATCACCCACTCACTCACCCACCCTCTTGTCTGTTCTTCTGTCTACCGTCCATCTACCCTCCCTCCCTCCCTCTCAGCCAGCCAGCCAGACAGACAGCATTTACTGAGGGCGCACTACATGCCCGCACAGTGTGGATAAAGGGCAGACTGGGGACTAGACAGGCTCATCTCGGCCCCCGCCCTCCCTCACTCCTGCGTCTACCCCCGCTCCCGGTTCTCTGGAAGATCCCTCTCTGGGTGGTCCAGGGACTAGGAGGAGCTCCAGGGGGAGCAGGGGGGGCTTCTGTGGCCTCTCTCCGCAGAGGCCCCCTGGCTTCCCGCCAT